ACTTGCAATTGTTACTGCAGCGTTTTCTTGGCTAATTCTTGTTCCACTTGCCCATTTCAATGGCTACCATCGCCTTTTGTGTTCGTTTTAGTGTACCATTATTTCTTCTTCTTCAATGTGAGTGTCCAAAAGTGATTTATATGGCCATTGTATAGTTTGTTATGTTAATAGTTTTTTTTTTTTTGTCTTCTAATATGTTTTGTGAGACAAAATGGTGTTTTAAAGTGTCAAAAAGGATCCTTTACGCATTTTTATAACAATTATGCAATAAAAATTACATATGTTGATAGTGTTAAATACAAATATATAATAGATTTGAATTGCTTTATATGTTTGCTAAGTGCATATATGATAAATCTGAACTGAACACATATCTTTTACCATTGTCCATATGTCAAGTGTTAGACATTATTACTATAGAATGGACATTCTGTGTTTAAAAAAATAAAAAATAAAAAATAAAAATTTTAATTACAAACATGAATGACAAAAAATGGCTGCAAATATCTTGTTGTTTTTAAGTGTCAACTGCTGTACGCTATATCACAAACAAGATTTGAGATTGCATTGCATAACATGAGTATCATTATCTCATATTGGGTCATATTTTGCATTGGCCATACAGTCTGAACTTTAAAATGATAGAAAAGAAGAGTTGTGTCTGCTCATTCTAGTTGATACTTTGAAATGTTGTCCTTATAACCCTAAGATATCTTACCTCTGATTTGTCTCACTTGTTAACTTTTCTCCCTCATGTAGAGGTGTGAGACTCAAGTGGTAACATTCATGAAGAAGAAAAACTGAAGATTGTGATTTCATAGAGACTACACTAATACTATTCCTGCGGTGTTGGCTGTGCATACTATGCTTACACCATATCGGGCTGTGTGGTGAAAGCCTACTACGACTGGGGTTGTTTTGTGTGCACTCTGTTTGAATTAACATTTCATAAGCTCTTAGGACCGGCTTTTAGCTTTTTATGGACATTTTTTCAATTAATATTCAATTTCTTTTTTATAGGCTTTGGGTGTGTGGGTTTTGGATTATTTATACCTAAAGTCAGAACAAACTTAGTAGAAAAGTCAAAATCCAAATAAAAAAGCTAATAAAAAGCTGATTCAAATAGGAATGGGTCCTTACGTTGCTTCATGTAGTGAGTTTTTAGTGTTATAACCTTGAATTCATTGTAAAGCCAAATTTTAGAATTTCGCTACAAAACAGAAGGTTTGACCTGATGCTTTTGTGAGCTTGATATTGATATCTTAGCTAGTATCTTGAAGTTGTGAAGTGCTTTTGGTTGGGGCTTATTTAGAGTGGTGATTAGGTTGCAAATCATGATTTTGTAATTTTTTTTCCTTTTTTTTTTCTTTTCTTTTCGCTCATCTCTTTTTAAATTTGATCAATGACTGCGAATTGAAAGGTAATTCACTGCATGTGTGTATCTTTGTTACGTTGTCTACTCATATTGGAATAAAAATTTATGTTTACACATATTTGTCCTTGACAACTCCGTATCGTTGAAAACATTGCAAGTAGAATCATAGCATTGAAATCTATGATATATTACATCTTTTAAATGGATGCCATGGCCTCAATTCCTACCAAATAGGACTTGTCCACCTTAGAGAATTCACATTTCTTCACATAACAGGCACACACATGCAACTATTTGAATTGAGGCCACATATTTGTATAGGCTCATTGTATTGTGGATCAAAAGAAGTGAAATCTACAATGGAAGACTATATAACAGGCCAGGATTATTGGAAGGCCCAAAAAGGCCCCATGGTGCCTGCTGGTGACCACTTTAAGAGTTCAAGCTTAGAAAATTGTTCAAGACCCTTATATTTATGAAATCAATGGCCATGCCACGACCTGATCATTTTTAGGCCCAAAAAACATCGTTTTGGACACTTGTTTTTAGGCACTTTCTACCCTTTCAGTATCATTTCTTATGTTGTTTAATTTCACTCTCGTTCAAGGCTATTGTCAAGTTTGATGTTTTTCCAATTTAGTGTAGTTTTCAATTTCCTAATACTTCTCTTCTTTTGTCAATAGTAGGTTTTGAGGGATTTCCTATAGAATCATGGATTGTAATGGTTGGAGACTGTTTGTGATTGTGTTCTTGGTGTCCTTTGTGTGAGAATCAACAGGAACCAAAGAAAGCTATTCCTGGTTCATATGTCGTTCTCTTCTTTCTACTTTCCCCTCTGCTTCTTCTCTCCTGTCAGTCACACATTTTATACTTCTTTTCTATAATTTTTACATGAGAAAGTCGTAAATCTTATGATACCAACAATCATGAGCCTAGCTTGTTTATTATGTGCTCAATGTTGGGATCTGGGATCCCGCCCAAGACCTTATAGAAATTATACCAAGCAGAAAAACACACTCACATTCAAGGAGACACAATATTTAACGTGGTTCGGCCTCAATGCCTACGTCCACGGGAGAGTAGCCGGTTATCACTATAACAATGGAGATATTACAGAAAGATTACAATAGAGGAGGAGCTCACACTCTCCTCACTCACCCACTCACCCGTCTCCCTCGCTCACACCGAGGGAGACGGTCTCTCCGCCTCACATATCTCACTCTCTGTGGCTTGCTCTGCTCTCTCAAACCCTCCCCTTAGCCTCCATTTATATTCAATCAGAATGGAGATGGAGAGGCTGGCCTTGCATATGGCCAGCTATCTTGTGTGCTGGCTTCACATGGCCGGCTCATGTGTGTTGGCTTCCTAACATGGCCAACCTTGCAACACATGGAGGATCACCCCTCACATGGGGTGATGATATCCCACACTCAAGACGGAACTTCAAGACTATTGGGACATGCTGAATATCTTCTATAAGAAATCGGAGGAAGACACGATGAATTTTTTTACTCCATGAAATCTCAAACAAAAAATACGCTCTATTCCTTGTTTTTAATCGACTGATCACAACTACTGCCTACATTCCACAAAATTGTGGACCAACAAGAGACATGCGATCCCATAGAAAGACATTACAAGCCTTTGTGGCAAAATTATTTTTTGAATTTTATTGTGCATAATCATAATTCTCTGTGCATGTATTGGCTCTACCTGGACAGAAATCTCAGGTTTGGTATAGTTTTTTGTGTGTTCTTTTATTTAATTTTAATTCCAGTTAAATGGACTACTAGATTATGTGATTTTGACAGGCATCGTTTGTTCTTTACTTTTCAAAAGAATTTCATTCGTTTGGATGGAATGGAAAAGAAATACAATACAATGAAATTGATCTTATCCTTTGTCGAGCAATTTGGATTAAGATGTTGTTGAGTATAATTGAAGAAGTTTGATCTTTTTTAATATGGATTGTCACTCACAATTTCCCTTTTGTTTTGTTTTATTTTATCTTTTATCTTCTCTTGTCTTTTCCAGTTCAATTCATGGCTCAAGAATGATAGGTACTTCACTACATGCATGTATCTTCAATGGCTACATTTTACATATTGGAGCAATTTATGATTTTTTTGTGTGTACGTGCATGATATGCCCTCCACATCATTGAAAGCGTTGCAAGTAGATGTCACAACGTCAATATCTGCCAAATTGTGCATCAGTACGTGAATGTGATGGCCTCTGTGTCTACTAGTATGGATTTCTCTTCATCTAAGGATATGCTTCTTTTAATTTTGTTATGGATGAAGGAATTGAAATTGTCTTGCTTTAATAGGAACACGTACGCAAATATTTCAGTGGAGGACAAATATCTGTGTAGACCTGTTAGACTAGTGCCCCTCATCTTCAAAGTGAGTTTGCTTCATTCATAAGGTCAGTAATTGTAATATAGATTATGGATTGTTTGAATTTAGAATGAGGTGAACCATTAAATAAACTTCTCAAATGCTTTGCATAAAAATGATCAAAATTCTTCAGAATCAGTGATGTTCAGGTAGTGTTTGGATCTTGAATTTGTATTCACACACAGCATCAAGGTTTTCTTCCTTTGTGAGAAGGGCGCGTGACGTGCAAAAGTGACCATTTGAAACATCTTTTGATAGTGGCTTGTGTTGCTTAGAAAACTTCTCTATCTCTTTGCATGCAGTCACACATTTCATATTTTATTTCTCCAATTACTGTGTTCAGAAATGCTCCTCATTTCTGCTTCATTACCTTTGCTTTCAAACTAATCCCCAAGTTGACAATTGATTCCAAAATTTCCAACTTGTCATTGGATGCATATATTTTGTGGACAAGCTCAGGACCCAACAACCAGTCCTGATTGGTTTTGAAATTTATTGAGAGTGGCAAATGATTGGTGAATTTGATCCCCTTCTCTCTGAGAACATAGACGCATTCTTGAATCTTGTATATCTTGTGTTCTGTGTGCTTGATTGTTTTTCTTTACTATTTTTTGTGATTGGAATCAGTCAATTATGCACTACAGTATTTTCATTCGTTTAATCAGGGAATCTTTTTGAATTTGAATTTGTAAATCTATTGTGTCTTATGCAAAGCGTTATCCTATGTCCATGACCACTTGGTTCTGACCCTACTAAATTGTGCAGCGACATTAACTAACGTGGCATTCTAGTGTGCACCACCCAATCGTGCCACGTGTAGACACTATCCAAATTTCTTCAAACGTTAACAGTACCTGGCCTCAATAGGTTAGCTTTCACTAACGAACCATTTAAGTAGGTTTCATCCACATATCAAACCACACATATTTGATCCTCAAAAACATCGAACTTGGTTGTGTTTTCATTTTTTGCTTTCTGTTTTTAAAAAAACACAGAAAACATGTTTGTTGTATTTATTTTTATAAACAAATCACTATTTAGGAAATATCAAATAGTTATTTTCGAATTTTAGAGAACTGCTTTTGCACAAAAATGAAAACGACGACACAATAAAAAATGGCCATTAAAATCATTGGCTATGAGTCTGATTCATTTCATGATAAAAAGTGGTTGGCTTTTTGTTATCTTTCCTAATCTGCGCAAAACACTAAAACATGTACATGCCATCACCTAAACATAAACACATTAACAACAAAGCGTGATTAATAAAACAAAGTTGCTTTACATGTGCATAGTATAAGCACAGACAGATCACAGGGACACACCCTCCATACCTTAAAAACAAACTAGAAAAGCTTGCACTGCGTACATAATGCAGGGGGCATTCTGTTCAATAAATTTGACAAATCAAAAATGAAAAAAACATTGATCTCAAATTGGGTGCATGCTTTTGCACTTCCCCTCTTCCCCCCCAAAAACCAAACGTTTTGATTGGTTTTGATGGATGTTTAGATCATAAACTTGGTAGGATGGATGATCACCTCTTGACCCTTTGATATACCCTTACGGGCAAGCCTCCTTTAGGTACAGGGAAAGGGCCGTACTGTACGCCATCTTCGTCTCCGATGACTTCCCATCTGTGAAGCCAACACACCAGAATGTTGAAATCAAGTTTCAGTAACATTTTACATGGAACATTCATACATTAGTCAAAACACACATTTTTACACTTTACACATTAGCATGACTCATGCATGAATCTTACAATTTAAGCCAATAATTGTCAATTTAGAGTACACCTGAACGTCCTCTCTAGTTATTGGTATAGTGGGCCTCATTTGGTAACAGTTTCGTCTCTTGTTTTCTGTTTTCATTTTCATTTTGGAAATTGAAAACAAAAACTTGTTTGGTATGTTATTTTTGTTTTTCAGAAAGTAAAATTGATTCCAAAATTTTCTAGAATTTTGAAAATAAAAAAACTGATTTTCAGTTGTTTTCAAACAAATTTTCATTCTCTCCTCCCTCTCCCATCACTTTTGGCCATTGCCCACCACCAATCTCCAACTGACTAGCCGCCAGCTCTAGCCGAGCAGCCGCCTCCGGCGACCTCCAGCCACTTTACAACAAACGGTTTGTAAGATCCAATGAGCTCTGATCACCTTTTGGTGACTAGCCCTTCACTACCTGTGACCTCTAGCCACCTTCCGGTGGCACTTAGGCTGCCTTGGGACACTCGGACCACCAACTCGATAGCAACTCACTAAACATGTTTCTTTGTTTTTGTTGTCATTTGTTTACAAAATATTTTTATACACCAAATAAGTTGACAGCTGAAATGTACGTATGTATGAAATTGACCCCAAGTCAGCTCTCTCTCTCTCTCTCTCTCTCTTGTTTCTGGTCCATTTTAATATGTCCTTTTATGTTTTACTTAAATAATAGGAAAATGATATAACGTCTGCATTCATCATAGATTTCTTCAAAAGAAAAACATTTTGTGTAGCTAAAGAAAAGATGAAACAAGTGGTGAATATTTTTAGCAGAGCATTGCTATGTGGTACTACTTGTGTTGTGGCCTAAAATGTGCAGAACAAAGTTGTGGTGTTTAACATAGCCTGTTTTCTTTTGTTCCAGCCCTCTTCACTAATCTTATAATTCTTGTTTCTGTTTTTTGACAGCAGGCAATCTGACCGTCTGATGCCCCGTGATCAAGAGAATACTGCATGGTTGGCAAAATGTGTCGCGACATCGGATGGTTAGTGTTAGAAGACAGTATCCCTTGGGGGGAGGGGGGACCTTGTGATAGATATTGAAGCTGAGGAGGTTAGACTCTTAGTGTGAAGCGTGATATTTTTTGACACCAAGGATCCTCTAGAGTGAAATTTTCCTAAAGTTTCCTAGAGTGTTACATTGTGTTGTTGAGATTTACTGGCAAGTCACATCAGAAAAATTGATGTGACTTGTCAGTAAATCTCAATGGGAAAAGAAAGGGAGTGAGAAATAAATAAAGAAATAGGATACCTTTTAGGACATCAATTATATTTTATAACCAACACAACCAAACATAGTTGGGATTTAGAATTCTATTAATTCTTTCTCTTTTTCCTTTCATTTCCATTTCCCTTTCCATTTCCCTTCCCAAATTCCCCAACCAAACACAACGTTAGTGTGAAGCGTGATATTTTTTGAGGCCCAGTAGTTATTGATCAAGTACTTACTATCTACCTTACAAGTTGTGTACCCTACCGCTCACCTTGTCCGTTTGTCACATGAATTTATGGGGCTATATAGGTTGGTTCTTTAAGTAATTTTTTGTTTTGTTTTTTTTTAGTGCCTTTCTAATGTGATTGAAAAATTATAAATAAATAAATAAATAAAAAAGCTGCTTTTTGTGAGTGAAAGATTTGATATAACATTTAATTTTTTAAACTATTGATAAATGACTAGTCCGCAAGTTGAAATAAGATTTTTTTGATTAAAATAGTCACAAAAAGACAAAATAATTTTTTATTTTAATAAGACAAAATGTCATATCGCAATTATAATCATTTTATTTTTTTTCTCACAAAAGTTAAAAAAACTAAAAAGCCTATCTTAAACGATACTTTTTAGTTCTAAGTTAAAATAATTAAAAAAATTTAAAAGTCAAAAAGTCAACACACATCTCAAACGAAGTGACACACATCTCAAACGTAGTGAATTGATTAACAGAAGTTGACTTCTTTTTGTATATTGACTAAAACATGAAATTTTTGGTTTGTTGTAATATTTGTTCGATTCATGTTTGAATTTCTCGGTGTAAATGTTGGAATATGATTCAAACAACTCATTCTGATTTTCATGTAGAATTTAGCTGATGTGATATTTGATCATTGGTGGATTATAAACAAGGAATTTATTGATAAACTTGATTGAATTTAATATTTTCTTTACTTTTAGATGTTAGAAAGAAAACAGAGTGTTGGTTTTTGAAATATAAATCAAAATGTATACATAAATATATGTAGTAATATTATACCAAAATAATTTTCATATACAACATAATGTGACAAATTAAATGGTATTCAAAATTTAGTACATAAATTTAATCATTATAGTATTATTAATTTAAAATTTCACTGTTTTAGCATTCTAGATGGTTCTTCACATATATATATATATATATATATATAAAAGGGTAAATTATAAATACATTCCCCTGAGGTTTGCTTAAAATATAGATGACTCTCTGTGGTTTGAAAAATTACAAATATCCTCTTATTAGAATTTTTTATTTAACAGAATTAATTAAAAAAATAAAATTCATAATTGCTCTCCTATGTAATAATAAAATTATCTAAATTATTAATTGAAACATATTTTAATATCATTAAAAACTGTTAATTGACTTGATGATTTATTAATAAAAGGAGCGATTTGTTATGAAATTAGAAATCTCAAAGGGTGAAATGTAATATTCAAAACTACGAGAGACGATTCATATTTTTATCAAACCTTTAAGGGTATATTTGTAATTTATCCTATATAAAATAAATAAATCAGTTTTTGGATCATTATAAATATGTGATGCATATCGGAAATTATAGCTATTTTTAGATAGTCAAGACAAGCACGAAAGGAAACTCTTTCAAAAGAGTAAAAAAAAAAATAGTGTTTTCTATGCATGAAATGGTGCACGCATGCCACGTGTGTGAAGATGTGGGGAGTTTTGTTTTGTTGACTATTATGAACTATTTTTGGTGTTTCGCATTTTCCTCTTCTCTTCTTCTCTATGGAGAAAAAAAGGGATAAATCTGATCGAGTCATTCTCTTTGTTCATTGTGGACCCCTATGGACCACTTCCAATGCCTGCGGAACACAGGATCTTTCCTAGAATACAAAAATAAAACCTCATATATATATATATACATATTTTACAATATAATAGGAAAGAAATAAAAAAAAAATTAACAATACATTGTACCAAATAAGACTCAAAATGAATACAAATGTGGGTTGATGAAAGGATTAACAATATTCAATTAACTTAATTTTTTATAGACATGTTTTACTTAATGTATTATAAAATACGAACAGTTTAATTTATCAAAATAAGCTCTAAAATGAGTTTATTTCACTATATAAAAGAGACTATTGTGAGCTCTATATAATAGCCACCCGACACCCTTCTTACGCTGTGTTTGGTTGGGGGTTTTGGGAAGGGAAATGGAAAGAGAAATGGAAATGAAAGGAAAAGGAGAAAGAATTAATAGAATTCCAAATCCCAACTATGTTTGGTTGTGTTGGTTATAAAATAGAATTGATGTCCTAAAAGGTATCCTATTTCTTTATTTATTTCTCACCCCCTTTCTTTTCCCATATATTTTTTATTATAACCAAACATAAATAGGATTACATTTCTCATTCCTTTTCCAAATCCCACCTCAAAAACTCCAACCAAACACAGCATTAATGATATATCATGAACTTTTCAAAAATTATATATTGAAAAACAAAACAACACTCATGGGTAAAATTTTAAAATCACTAGTGGTGAAAAAGAAATAGATGTCAAATCAATTGTATCAGTTATGAACCAATTGTATTGACTATGAAGCAATAAACACCAATTTTTATTCTCACTATATAAGGATCTATGATTGTCAATATTTGAAAAACCAGCATATAAATATACTAACACAATATATATATATATATATATAGAGAGAGAGAGAGAGAGAGAGAGAGGGGGAGGAGGGGACCTGTAAGAAGTGGTGAAGTGGTGGAGGAGGAGGAGCATTTCAAGCTTAGCCAGCTCACTGCCTGGACAAGAGTGCACCCCATTCCCAAATGGCATGTACGTGTTTGGTCTCGGTGGCACCTGCACCATCACACACAACAAACATACAATCTCATCTCATCACATCATCTCTCTCTTTCAATCTCATCCAATCCACCTTCAAATAAAAAAAAAAACGATACTTGTATTGACACTCTCTCCCTCTTTCTCTTTCTCTCTGTTACTACCCTACAAAAACCAGCTCACGAGATCTGAAACTCCAAAGATTTCATATGATCTCAACGTCTAAAATACACAAGATACATTCATAATACAAATTTGAAAAGGACTGTACCAAACATATAATATAAATCTACAACCCATTCATGATATAAACCTTACATTTATGCCAAAACAAGATAGAATAAACACACTAGTACTAGTACAAAGACCCACTTCATAAATCGTGGTCTCAGTGTCTGTGTCACAGAACTTGGAAAAATACACGTGTTTGATTTTAATTTTTGGATTTAATTTTTTAAAAATTTAGTTTTTTATTTTTAGTGAATATTTTTAAAATTTTAAATAATTTTTTTACTTATATCTTAAAAGTAATATATTTGTAAAAAAATATTTAAAAAAATTAATAAATATACAATAATACAAAAAATATATTCAATTCTCGTAATTTTTTTTATGGGCAAATTATATATACCTCCCTCGAGGTTTAGTTAAATTACAGATACCCCTGAGGTTTAAGAAATTATAGATACCCCCTTGAGGTTTATATTTTCATAACAAATTGCCCCATGAGGTTTATATTTTCATAACAATTTGCCCCCTAATTTTTTACGCAAATAATACCTTCAGGGGGTATCTGTAATTTCTCAAATCTCAGGGGGTATCTATAATTTTGCTAAACCTCAAGGGGGTATATGTAATTTACCCTTTTTTTATTATATATTTTTGGTATTTAGGGAATTTTCTAAAGATTTTTTTCACAAATATTATACTTTTTAAGCGTATTTATGTTAAGTGTATCTAAAAATTAAAAAAATTACTTTGAATATTAAAAAAAAATTAGTAAAAAAAAAAATCAAAATATTTCAATTTTTTAAAAAGTGAATCCTAAACATCCAATCCAAACCAAACAAGCTGAATTTTTTTTTTTTTTTTTTTTTTTTTTCGGCTTTTTTTTTTTTTTTTTTTTTTTAATTTGGTGGAGATGGAGGAGTTAATTACCTCAAATCTTGAAGGGTCGAATCTTTGGGGATGAGGAAAGAAATCTTCAGAATGATGAATGGTTCTGAAGAGAGGAAGAACCTTCCAACCTCTTGGGATTAAATAGCCTTCAAATTCTATGTCCTCAACTGCTTCCCTGAATGTGAATGATAATATACTTGCTGTTCTTAGAGTCTCTTGTATCACCTGTCATCAGATCAGATCCATACACACTTTCATTTCAAATTATAGGGGAAAAAATCTATGTATATTCACGTAATAATTAATAAAAATGTTGGGTTAACACCACACCTAGTAGGAGTTTGGCAATTACATTTTTAGTTTTTTTGGTTGACATGTGAATTTTTATTAAAAAATTTAAAAATTTCACTTTTAGATACTTAAGCTTCGTTTGGGAACCCTCATTTTTAGCCAAAAATCCAAAAAGTTACTAAATTAGTCAAAAAGTCAACAACTCATATCCAAAAGTCAAAGATTCTCTTTTCTCTCTACTTTTTGCACATCTTTTCGTAAAAAGCCAAAAAGTCATCCCAAACGTATTAGTTTTTTTTCGCTCATATTTTAGTCAAATAACCAAAAAATCACTAAACTAGCCTGTTCCCAAACGAGGCCTTAGATAAGAGGATCTTAAAAATTAATTAAGAAGATGTGACCCATTTTATTATTATTATTATTATTATTTTAAGTTGATTCTTTTGTTCTAATCTTTAGTTGAATTTTAATTATTTTTTAGATCCTTTTAAATTAGAAGTACTCGAAAACTAAAATGTTGTGACACAAATTTTTTAAAAATATTTCACTAAAATCCAAGTTTTTTTTTTTATTAAAAAAATAACATTTTTAACTGTTGCCAAATAAATAGAATTAGTTTCAACTACACAGTGTACTTTTTTAATCTTGTGTTTGATTTCTACACCAACAACATTTTTACAGAATTAAACCAACAATAAAATAAAATAAAATATGAGCACAACAATATTCACCTACAATAAAAATAATGAGACCAGCCAATGAGGATATCCATGATGATTTCCTCTTTAAATAGTCATTGTATCAAAGAAATACATGTAAATATTTTGAAGGGTAAAATTATATAAATTAAATTTTTGTAAAATCAAAGAAATACATGTAAATATTTTGAAGGGTAAAATTATATAAATTAAATTTTTGTAAATATATATATATATACATATATGTAAGGTTTTTGTTTTTCATTTGAAGTAAAAAAATTATTTGTGTATATGAATAAAGCTTTGGACCCCAGTGGGGGTACTGGGGGGTCACCTCCCATTGGTCCAAAAAAAAATAGTTTTTTTTTTTTTTTTTTGAGTTTTCAGTCAATCCCAGGCCGACACGTGGCACTGGGGGGTCATTGGGGGTCATCCCCAGTGGGGGTCTGTAGCATTGCTGATCTTAAATTATCTAATTTTGAAGGATGATTACCCGGGTAGTCAAAGGCATGCTACGAGTATCATCCCACGTAAGTCCACGGTCGGCTTCGATTATTCTGCGTCGAATTTCGTCTTGTTCCTTCTGCAACAATTTATGGCTAACACTTTTACGCAAACTAAAAAATAAATAAAAATTCCATATTTACTCTAGGGAATATAATAAATAGCATCAATTTCACACATTTTAGAATTAGAATGAAACGAATGGGGATTAGTATGAAAGGGACTTTAAGGCCAAGTTTGGCAACTTGCAAAAAAGTTAAAAAATTATCATTATTCATCAAAAGTTAAAAATTACGGCTGCACAGCTCCCAATTCTAATTTTTTCTTACACACTAATTTATTCAATTTTTTAATACACATTTTTTTATAAAAAGTTAACCCAAACATTCATATTTTTTTCTTCAATTTTTTAGTCTAAAAAGACAAAAAGTACACTTATTTAGGACACCCTAAACAACCCCTAAATTAGTTAAAAAGTCAAAAAAATCATTATGTATTCATTTAGAAAGTGACCTTTTAGTGATTTTTTTGACTTTTTCATTAAAATATAAAGTAAAAAAATAAATAAAAATGAAGTATTTGTGAATGAAAAAAAAATTTAAAAAAATAGAGAGACTGAAAAGAATTTTTGATTTTTTTAATATAGTATTTTGACTTTTTTAATGATTTTTTAATTTTTTAATTAAAATTTTTTCTTCCCAAATGCAAACCTAGAAAAGCTAAAAGGCCAAAAAATCATACCAAAAAAATTCAAAAATCAATTCCCATTCTTCAATTTTTTTACACTTTTTTTTATATATTTTTTTAGTAAAAAGTTATTTTTTTTTTGGAAAATTTACCCATAAGTCCTAGTTTCTGAAAAGTTGAACCATTTAGTCCTAAAAGTTTTCTTATGCTCCATTTAGTCCCATTTGCACATCAATCTAATGTTCGAAACATTAATCTGATGTTTGAAACATTGTAATGGGACCTTTCAGTCTATAAGAAAATTTTTAGGACTAAACAGTGTATAAGTTATTAATTTGGGATTTATTGGTGGATCCCCCTTTTTTTTTTTTTTCCAAATGCTTAATTTTTTTATCTCAAATTTCAACTACAAACCACTAAAGCTCTACATTTATTCTAGAGAAGTACCAATAGTGCTGTCAATACCGTATTATGTGTCCTGTGTCATGTGTTCTTTAAAAAAATTTCGCACTTTTATACTTACAATGTTAAAAAAGGAATAATCTTTAGTCTAGAAGTACCAATACAATGCTAACAATACCGTATTATGTGTGATTTTAAAAAATTTGTATTTTTATACTTACAAAAATATTAAAAAAGGAATAATCTCAGCCAAGAAAATAAATAAATATCACAGTAAATACATGTGATAGAATAAAGTTCTAGAAACAACAGACAATTAATTCTTTGAAACATCATAACAAATTCATCAATAAGGCCTCCTTTGGACAACATGTTTTAGTCCAAAAAAAAATAAAAAAATAAAAAATAAAAAATTATTGTAAATTATCACATCATTTTCTTTATTTTTCTAAATGTCTTTTGCTAAAAAGTTAAAAAATTACTAAAATAATCCATACCAAACGATGCCTAAGACCTCGTTTGGGGATTTGTCTTTTTAGCTTAAAAGTAAAAAAATTACTAAAAAAAATCAAAAAATCAACAACTTATATAAAAAAATCAAAGATTTCATTTTTTTTTACTTTTTGCACATCTTTTCGTAAAAAAAATTAAAAAGTCATCCCAAATATTAAATGAGGCCTAAATATATAAATAATAAATTAACATAACAAAAAATGAAGGATTAAAGAGATTACTGCAACAGAATCCAAGAGGTCCCTATTGTCATGCAAGTACTTGAGAACCCATGTTAGAACACTAGCAGTGGTATCATGAGCAGCAAATATAACTCCAATAATATTATCAGCAATTTGAGTGTCAGTTAGATGATTAAGCTTCTTCCGGTCTTCTTCTGATCCCAGTAATATCCCCAACAGTCCTCCAGTTTCTCTCCCACTTTCTCTTTTCTTTTGTATCAATTTTCTCAGATTCTCATTCAGAAGCTTCCTTGCCTGTGAAAATCAAAATCAAAGAAAAAAAAAAACCCATTTAGAAAATATTTCAATAAACCGACATATACTATGTTGTATTCTACTTATACGTATATCACCTTATTATCGTGCTATGTAAGTATTTGAAGACAAAAGATTACTGATATTTGTTCAAAGCAATGTGGGGCTTAAAGTACATAGCTGAATGAACACAAAACAAATTATGATGAGGTTGTGATATTTCTTGAAATACAGACTCCTCTTAATCCTTATAGTTGAAAAAAAAAGGGTGTTTTTTTTTACTACTGTGATTGTGTAAATCAGTAATAGAATTGTGTGAAACTGAAAAATTGAAACTGTTTTGTAAGTTGTACTCATGTGATTGAAAAGGATTGTACTAAAGCCATTAGTGTGCAGAATGAACACTGGTGTGATCTGCCTTAGAAGATATGTGGATCCACTTTAATTTCGACTCCGCCCGTTTGAAACAGATTATTTTAATAATTTTTTGAATTTTTAATTAAAATATGAGATAAAAAAAATTAGTATATTTAGGATGAGTTTTTAATTTTTTATGAAAATATATCCAGAAAGTAGCGAAAAAAAGAATTTATGACTTTTTAGTATAAATGGTTGACTTTTTAATTTTTTTTAGTGAGTTTTTAACTTTTAAACTAAAAAATAATGTTGTTAAACGAGACCTAATCACTAAAAGCATGTTAAATCTTTTTTTTTTTTTTTTAAATTTAAAATTTTAACACGTATACACCTTCATTGCTTTGTGAAAGGGAGTTCCCGGGAGATTTAAAGGCATGGAATTGTATCCCTTCTCCAAGGAATGATACAAGTTTTTGATTCCTTCCATTTCCAAGTCTCGGCTGTTGCCGAAGGCTGAAATCATTGCCACATCAAAAGCATACTATAACACACCCAAAAAAACAAAACACAAAAACAACCCTTATTAGTATTCTTGATTTTGAATCCAATTCAATTCAAGTTTATGAAACAGATAGCTTTTACCTACCCTCTTCATCTCCTGTAAAGTGTTGACAGTTGTTTTATGTTCCCAAGTTGGAAGAAAATCAAGAACAATTTTCTCAATCACCGAGACCGATCCTCTGATTGCAGAGGGAAGAAAAGCGGCCTGAACCAACTTCTTGAGCCTTGAATGGTAAGCCCCTTGATGAAAAAACAGAGCCTCTGGTCCTATCATTTTCTCTTTACTTGGTGGATATGTTGGTTTAAACAAATGAGCTTGGCTCACTAGAACAAGCTTGGCAGCTTCAGGGCTTGAAATCATCACACAAGGACATCCCAATATGTGGGTCTTGAATATATCTCCATATCTACAGCACATAACCATAATTCAAAAACTGAAAAAAAAAAGAAAAAAAAGGAGATATGTACGGGTCTTGAGATATAATTGTTTACCTTTTTTGTCTGTTGGAAAAGAAGGAATTTGGGTTTTCAGTGTAGAGCTTGAGGGTCTCTCCTATGTAAGGCCAACCCATTGAGCCTGGTGGCAAACGCTTGTCTTTGGGGTGGCGCCACCGGAGGAAGAAGAAGAAGAGGAACAAGAAACAGAATATAGAAACAAAAAGAAGAGAAGATGAGGGTGCATAGGATGGTGTGAAGAGAGACTGCATGATGGTGGCGGTGGTGGTGGTGGTGGTAGAGACTTGGCTAGAAAGAGGTTGTAATAGAGAGTTTGATAAAGTTGGAGTTTTAATGGGAATGAACGTTAATGGTGAGTCATTGGGGGCATTTATATAGGGGAGATGGGTTGGTGCACCAGTGGAGTTTTTATTTTTATTTTTTTAAGTGATGTTAGGAATATTAAACCAAAAACATTTTTTTGATAAAAAAATTAAATCAAACAAATTTTCGTACTTTTTATCTAAAAACATGTTTCTCAAATACAAACCAAATAAGCCCTAAATTTTTTATTAGGCCTTATTTAGAAATATGTTATTTTAATAATTTTTTAATTTTTTTGTTAAAATATAAGGGAAAAGAATTAGTATATTTGGAATAATTTTTTAGTTTTTTATGAAAAAATATGTAAAAAATAGAGAAAAAAGAAAATTTTTAAGTGATGTTAGGAATATTAAACCAAAAACATTTTTTTGATAAAAAAATCAAATCAAACAAATTTTCGTACTTTTTATCTAAAAACATGTTTCTCAAATACAAATCAAATAAGCCCTAAATTTTTTATTAGGCCTTATTTAGAAATATGTTATTTTAATAATTTTTTAATTTTTTTGTTAAAATATAAGGGAAAAGAATTAGTATATTTGGAATAATTTTTTAGTTTTTTATGAAAAAATATGTAAAAAATAGAGAAAAAAGAAAATATTTGACTTTTTAATATAGATTATAGATTTTTTTTTTATTTTTTTTTTACTTTTAAGCTAAAACAGACAATTCTCAAACGAGACCTAAATAATTAAACATTCATGTGAGATATTTAATCATTTATTTAATAGAAAATTTGAGATCTACAATAATATTTTTTTTTATATATTTTTTTAACCAGACCAGTGGAGGTTGGGGGCACCATTTCGTAGCACCTCACAAAAACATCGTAAACAAATAAATAAAATTGAAAGATAGGATGGTCCTTTTGTAGGCCAACCCTCCATCAGAAAATCTCCACGTGTTCAGAAATTTACCACAAATAAACATGTAAAGTTGAGATTTAGGTCCTTGTTTGCGAAATGTTGGTTTTAATAAAAAAAAATTTAAAATTATTTAAAAAGTTAAAAAGTAAAGAAAAAAAATTCAATTTATATAAAAAAAATTTAAAAATATTCTTTATTCTACTTTTTATACTTTTTTTTTTTATAAAAAGTTAAAAAATTATATTTTCAAATATATTATTTTTTTTTCTCACATTTTAACTGAAAAATCATTAAAAAGACACTTTCCAAATGGGCTCTTAGCTAGTGTATATTGTGGATCCATATTTAGAGGATTTCCATCGGTTTAAATTTTGAATTGAAGAGCGCTCTTTGGCCCTGCTCTGTGGGAGACTCACCACAAATATATTTTGATGATTCGAATTGTACATTTTGTTAGATATTTCATATATTTGATTTTGTTGAATCATCAAAACCGGACAAGTGGTAAACCCCAATGGCTCAAATAACGCTTTCCAATCTAAATTTTGAATTGAAAAGAACCGACCTCCTTAAAATAAATCTAAATAACATGTTAATTTTTCTCAATAAATTTTTTTTAAGCATGTAGTAGTACTTTTTAACAATACCCTACGTACACATTCATTGTTCATGGAATAATAGACTCTCTCTGGAAAGTAATCCAACGGTGGTGAAATGATAATCATTTTAACCATCACTAATTTGTTTCATTTCATGGAGTTATAATCTAGGAGGTGGATCCCTTTCTGTCATTATTTTAGATTGGATGGGATTGTTTTGGGACGTGGAGTTTATTATGAGTTCTGTTTTAATAATTTAAATAGTTTATTTTGTCGAATTTTTTGTGTATTTAATTTATAAAAAAAATTAAATCGATTAGATAATTGTAACTAATTTAATTTATCGCATTTTTCAAAAAAAAAAAGATGAGAAAAATAAATTATACATTTTTTTTGTAAAAAATGCGATAAATTGAACTAGTTACAGTTATTGAATCGATCTAATTTTTTGTATAGATGAAATACACGAAAAATTCAATAAAATAAACAGTTTAAATTATCAAAACGAGACTAACAGTGGACTCTACAGCAAAAAATTTCCATCTAGTTCAAAACAGTGATCGGAAAGGATCCTCCTCCTATAATCTATCATTAAAATTTGACATTAACTGTTTGTAGCTATCAAATAACATATGTCTACATATGCATGGAATCTGCTATTCTTCACAAATGACAGCTGCTGAAATCTTCTACCATATTAAAAATTAACAAATTTATATTGCATTATTATGGTACCCCAAAAATGATCCCGACAATGTATAAACAAACACTTCCCTTTACGTATCAATTTGCCTGGCACGATTAGAGACAAACAAATTTAGAAAATAAAATTGATGAAGATAGAAAAAAATGAAATGGGTAATGATAAAAATGACAAAACTTGTCTCAGAATTTTCTAAAAGGTTACTCTAATACGATGTTAAATCATTATTAGTCTAAAAATTTAGCTTTTAAATAAAGGAGGATTACATGTAGGTGACAATTGAGAAAAAAAAATTATCGAGGTGCAGCTTTTTATTTGCACCCCACCACAGACACACTTATACTCCTGTGTTTGTAATTTTTTTTTCCTTAACTCCTACCTATATGTAATTCTTCCTTAAGTAAATTGATACTCAATACTTTATCTGAAGAGTATCATAGCTTTGTTCCAGAATTAAATATATATATATATATATATATTATTATTTTTTTAATTTTTTAAATTCAAAGTATTGAATGCCTACGCATGTGAGCTGGAGACAATTCATCACCAAAACAAATATCTCCCACAAAGTTACTTAATCAGGGCAAACTTGATTTCAATTTAGTGTACTATTTGGTACACATATACCATACCGTAAGGGTGACAAGATACATCCAGTCAACTACAAAACATATAGATTCAATATATATCCTAAGGTGTGTTTGTTTGACTGGACTAATGGAAGAAGTTTTTTGATTTGATGTTTTGTTTTTTGTGGCTAAAATAGCCTATTTTGTTTTTTGTGGCTATTTTAGCCCAAACCAAGTTCCCAAACAAAGGCTAATCAGGGCAAACTTGATTTCAATTTAGTGTACTATTTGGTACACATATACCATACCGTAAGGGTGACAAGATACATCCAGTCAACTACAAAACATATAGATTCAATATATATCCTAAGGTGTGTTTGTTTGACTGGACTAATGGAAGAAGTTTTTTTAATTTTAATTTTTATTTTTTATGGAGTTCACTCTATATAAAATTAAAGTTTTAGAAATCAAAAAATAATTTTTTAGGGACCAAATAATTTTGTTACGAAAAGTGTCGTCATTATATTTTTAGCAACAAAAATTAGACATTAATGATGAATTATTATCCTTTTGGGATCAATTTTTTTGTCTAAAAAAATAAACTATTTTTAGATCAAATTATTTTGTCTTTAAAAGTTTATTTATTAGTGACATTTTCAGAATTTTGTTGCTAAGTCTTGTTTTTAATTTTTCGGAATGATCTTTTAGCGACTATTCTCATGACGATTGAAATTGATCCCTAAATGTCTTTCATAACAAAATTTTTGCTTTTAGAGAACAAAACATTTTTCTAAACTCTTATATGTTGTAGTGTCATGTTGTCAATTTTTTAAGGCGCTCATATTGTCAATTTTGGTCCCTTAAAATAGTATCAACCTATGTTTTGTTGCAAAAAATTGTAGAAGGAAGTTACACTCTTTGTTTTCCTTCATTTTTTTAAGTATTGTGTAAAATTACCACATCATCTCTATCTCCATCTCCACCACAACACCACCCCCACTTCATCTCGTTGTGACAACCATTACAATTACATTATTTTTAAAGGAATTCGTGACTTAAGGTAGGAAATTCATTCTTTTAATTGTGGATTTAAGTTGTTCATGCATGAATTCAAGTAAATTGAGCTATAAGATGTGAGAATCAAGCTTAAGGAGTAGGGAAGTAGATCAATCTATGCATGCATGCATGCATGTTTCATAGCATTTTGAAGATTGATTTTCAACAATTCCTTCATGCATGTGTTGAGTTCACTCTAATTTTGGAAATACAATAAGTTTCATGTTATTTAGTAGCATTTGATCATGTTTTGGAGAGCCTTAGCTCAAAAATGTACATTCATGTTATGTTCATGAATTAATTTCAAGTTTTAAGTTGAATGTTGCTCAATTGGTATACTTTTGGGCTTTGATTTTGTAAAATGATCTTCAAAACATGTTGTTTTATGAGTTTTCATGTATTTCCTCAAGTTTTGGGCCCAGAAAATTGAGTTTGTTGCATTTGGGGTTGAATTTGAGCTTGGTGATCAAATTTGGAAATTCCTGAAATTTGATCCACGCTCTAGCGTGGAACTTTACGCTCGAGCGTGCACTTTGAGTACATGCACTCCGCTCGAGCGTCGAGATTTACGCTCGAGCGTGAAATGCATATACCCAGAAGTTTGTGTGTTTTACAGTCCGCTCGAGCGAGGTTTTGAGTCTCACGCTCGCGCGTAGGTTGAGCGCCCGTCGAGCGTGAAAATCATGCATCCAGTACTTTTTCAAAAGTCCGCTCGAGCGGAGAAAGTCACGCTCGAGCGGAGCTTCATTGTCTGCATGTCCGCTCGAGCGGGGAAATCCACGCTCGAGCGTGGACCTTATTTTCGGCAAGTTTTAAGAAATGTTTCCAATGCATTCTTACATCCTCATTCCATCCTAGGCATTCATAGGCCATGTTTAAAGCTTCATAATGAGGATTAAAGGGTAGAAACACACTAAGAGCCAACGAAATAAGTTATGTACAATTAGAACGCGTGTTTCAAGTGTGTATCTGTCATGTGTTATGTAGGTCACGTGCTGCGTACCGTTTGACCAATCTGCTCCGTCTATCTGTCTCAAGGCCAACTGTGAGTAATAACATAGTAAAGCTATGTTCAACCTTATTTATTTTCTGTATGATGAAAAAAGAACTGTTTTCTGAAATGTTATGTTCTGTATAATGAATGATTGTCCAATTTCTGATATGTATTCGTGACATCCTTGGCATAATGTGATATCT